TCATATTTATTGAGTTTGATTTGAGATGATTAGATTTATTTAGTTATCTCAATTAATGATTAGTAAATATGATTAATTAATTTTAATTAATTTTGATTAATTTAAGTTAATTATTCAATTAGATTAATTATCTTGATTAATTAATTTTAATTCTCAATTAACCTTAATTTTGGTCAAAGTCAAAGTTTTCTTTTATTTTATTTCATTTTACTCAAAAGTTTTTATGATTAAGCAATTTAGTCCTAAGGTTTCAAATCTTTCTAAATCAGTTCTCCATGTTTTAAATTTAATCAAATTAGTCCCTTTAATGTTATTTGTGCTTATGATGCATGCTTGTCTTTGATTTTGTCCATTTTAGCCCAAACATTAAAAAATGTTTCAATTTGGTTTACCCTTCTTTCAAGCTTGCTTATTAAGACTTAAATACAAATATAATTAATAAGTTGAATCAAAACCCCAATTTTAAAGTATGCAACCATGTTTAAACAGAGGACTGTGAGGTACGCGTATGCCCTTCCTCACTCCTAACTGAACCCCCGAACCCCGATTTCTGCGCAGACCTGTTTTAGGTGACTTATCCCACCTCATAATTTGGACGAGTGGCGACTCCCTTTTTCTTTAATATTTTTACACTTAATCCCTTTTTAAGTGGTCGTCAACAGCTTGCGAGGGACACATTCGATGGCCTATCTCATGTTTTAATACCACATTGGAACCAAAGGACTAATTCAGTAATTCTATGGGTCTTTACATATTTAAACCACTTTTTCTTTCTACATTCCTTCAATGTAGAAATCTAATTCTTCACACTCACAAAGGAACAACATACTTCAATAGTTCAGCCAAAAGGAAGGTTCCATTCAAGGTGACCAAAAGAACTAAGTTATCTACTTTGGTATTAAAAGAAGATGGAAAAAACAACCATTAGAACAAAATCAAAAAAGTAAAGGAACCTAGAAAAGAAAGAAATACACAATGATAGACAAAAGTCTAAAAACATTGAAGTGTTTACCAGTCAAAGTGTCAGTGACATGTAAGTAGGGCATCAAAAGTACTTAGCAAAGGAAACTTAAGAAAGAAAGCAAGGCACACATAAGAGACCGAATTTTGAAAAAAGGGGGTTGACTAGTGGATTTCAGAGCATAAAAAATTTAAAAATAATTCAACAGTTTATTGGTAGTTAAATAAGATTTTTTTTTTGCCTTGCAGTTACATAAGATGTCTCTAGAATTTTTAATACCTACTTATTTGCGGATGTTTACGTAGTTCAAGAAATTATGACAAATCATATAACTATTTATAAATGAGTAATTCTTTAATAAAAAAAGATGTAAAGTGTTGGATACTTACAATGGCGGAGGTGGTATATAGTAGGATGTAGTCATCTGTGATAAGTGTTGAATAATTGATACATTGAAAAAATAAATTGATTAGGACCAATTTTACTATCTACTTATATTTGGTTATATAAGAAAAAGGGGAAAAGAATATAAAACTTTATTCAAGGAAAAGTGGCTAATGATTGATTCTAATGAAATTAAGAAAGAGTTTCAAAAAGTACAAGAATGTAATGTGAGAAGATTGAGCATGGTGTAGAATTGTTTATGTGATCAAAGACATAATCATTGCTAGATTTCATTAAACAAATCTTAAAAACAATCAAGTAGATAGAGGAAATTTGCAACTCATATAACATACAAAATAGAATTTATATATAGAAATAAATCCCTACTGCCAATCACTGCTTACAAACTCTAGTCCTTCAAACCAGTAAACAATTACAAATTAACAATGACGAAAAGCTGAAAGAAAATATGTGGCTCTTTCTTTCTTTACTAAAGAAATCAAAGAGCTATATTTCTTTTAGTTACTAAAGATTTCAGAGCTATATTTGGAAACAAGCATAGAAAAAGCAAATAACCAAGGTAACATAAATCAAATAATTAGGAATTATTTAGTTTGATTGACATCCCACAAAAGAAGCAATGCAAAAAAGCAGAGTAGATTCCCCTAGCAAGAGTTTCAAAATTGTATTCCAAGTAAAAAAATAATAAGACATATGGTATGTGATCAACATAAGTGATACCATCAGGATAGGAGTATTCAGAAATCTTCGGAAAATCAATGAAAATATTAGCACTGTTGTAGCACTTACCTTAAGAAACATGTTTACTAAGAAAACAAACGTAACTAGGTGTGAGACTAAGAACTATTTGGTCATTTTCTTAAGAATCTTGAGCATTCCAAGAAAAAGGGAGAAATGCTCCGTCAAAAAAACAAGAATCGCGAGAAAGAAAGAAAAGAAAAAGGAAAGTCCAAGCTTAGAGCTTCTCACCTGATTATAAAACCCAATTTAGAATTAGGAAGAAACAAGAAGAATAGAAAAGATAAGCAAAAACAGATAACAGAAGGAAGAAAGACAGAAATTGACAGAAAAAGAGAGGGAGTTGAGCTCTGTTATTTATCAAGCTAATCCATTCTCATAACACCTAACTTCTTACGTTTCTCTAGAAACCAAATACAACGGAGGAGAGAACAAAAATCGAAATGGCAAGAAGTCGTGCAAAACTAGCCGTTCAGCCAAAGCAGGCGTTTTATTTTGTAAGAGACGCCGGAAATTATCCAGCGGATCATTTTTTTGCTGTGTGAGGTTGGAACAAGTCGGGTAATGGGTTGGAAACAGAAGCCCAATGGGTGAATGGTTTCTAAGCCCAGAAAGATAGAAACCAAAGAACTGCATACTAGGCTCAGTTGTCCCAGTCAACTGTAGCCCATTCGATAATAATATTTTTTTTTTTACTTCATTTTTCCCTTTAGCGTGTATGGGTATAATGGGCTATTGATTTAGTTCGGTAACTAACTATTTTATCTACCTTAAAATGGAGATTATTAAATATCAAAGATGAAAAATATATGTTTTTTGTGTACACCTATATATTTGGATTTTGTTTGACAATACTTTTTGATTCTTTATTTTTCAATTTTTATATTTTTCTATTATTTTAAAAATCTATAAAATATTAATTAAAGTAAATATTACATATGTAAAATATATTTTTATAATATTAAAAAGCTAAAAAACTTACTGCTACAGTTGCAGGCAACATTGTCAAATTAAACCTTAGTGAGTTGGGTAAGAACTATAAATTTTCAATATCTAAGTACAAAGTATCAAAATTTAGGAATATTAAATTTTCAAGTCAAGTAGACATATCCCATACTTGTACCTATTTATCTTTGGAGCTTGAAGCAAAGTTTACTAAATTATATATAACTGTAGTAGGAAAAATAAAAGGTAAAAATTTTAAGTTTATCCTTGTTTGTTGTTGGTAAAACCCCATAGACTGCCCTTTAACTTTTCAAGTGTGTGGAATTTTACCCCTCACCTTATAATATATGATTTTATATCATGTTGATATGATTTTATACCCTTCTAGTATTTGATGTGGAACTTTACTCCTCATCTTACAGCTTTAGGAGGGTATGACATCATAAACTAGAATATCATACGGGTATAAAATCATAAACTTGAATATTAGAAGGGTATAAAATCACATATTATAAGCTTTAGGAGGATATGACATCATAAACTAAAATATCATGCGGGTGTAAAATCATAAACTCCAATGTTAGAAGGGTATAAAATCGCATATTATAAGATGAGGGGTAAAGTTCCATACACTCAAAAAGTTGAAGGGTAATTTGTGGGTTTTTGTCATTTGTTGTTATGGTCTTAGGCAATAAAAATACTAAGAAATCCCTTTTATTATAAAATAAAAGGAAAAGTTATAAGAAAACAAATAAAAGTAAGAATTTCTTATTTTACTATGTACTCTTCTATATATGATTTACCAATTATACAAACTTATAGGTTTATATATAAGTTATCAGACATATAAGGTATATATTGAATAAGACTAAATAAAAGAACAAATAATAACTTAGTGAAAATCATAAATAACACTTTAATGAAATTTTAAATAACTTTTAATAGAATCATGAATGACTCATTAATGATGAAGAGTTATATTATAAAAGAAGATGAATGTGAATGTTAAGCATCCATCAATAAGAGAATTCACAATATATATACATATATATATTTTTTTAACAGGCAATACCAATACATGTATGTTCCTTAATTAATTGCTCTTTAATTAGGAGCTAATTTTGTCCTTTTTTTTTTCTCTCGCAGGGATATAGTTTCTGGGCTTGTCCATTTACATCAACTCGGAATCGTTCACCATGATCTAAGGCCTCATCATGATTTGCTTTCCAGGGACCATAAATTATCATCTCTTATATGCAACCGCAAAGCTATCGGACATGGGTATTAAGCGTCCATATGGCTGAAGGCGACTATCGGACATGGGTCTTAAGCAGGGACGGAGCCAATGTAGGACAACGGAGGCAGCTGCCCCCTAAAGGTTTTGAAAATTTTCAAATATGGTACATTAATTTTTATTTTCTACGTCTTAAATTATTGGGACCATTTCAAATATAAAAAAAAAAATTAGGATTTAGGTAAAGGAATTATTTCTCTCCTTATGATTAATTTTTAAGATATGATAATTTGGTCTAGGTAAGAAAAAAAATTAAAAAATAACCAAAATCTAATTAATTACATTAATATAACTTATATAAGTTTTTACATTAGTTCTGTTCAACTTTTTTGTACAATTTATATACTATGGAAATAATATTAAATTTATTCTATTCATATAAATTATACATTTCAAATTTAAAGTTATTTTGATATAAGTAATCATTTAAAAAAATAAACTATATTTTTATGCTATTTATTTAGAGATTTTAAAGTATATATCATTCAAAAATAACTAAATATATCTAATTTTCTTGATAAACTAAATATATCTAATTAATTTAAAGTTTTATATGTATAAATAAGTGATACATGCATAAAATAAGCTATCAATATAAAAATTAATTTAAATTATGTTAATGTGAATTAATACATAACTCAAAAAAAAAAAATTTACATAACCCAAAAAAAATTTTAACCTTTCCCATGTCCCCCTAACTTCAATTTCTGGTTCCGTCCCTGTGCTTAAGCGTCTATATAGTATTTTAAAAAGGGCCTTTTCACTCTAACAAAGTAGGTGGAATAACTCGGGAGGATGAAATGTCATTTCAATAAAATTTGGTCCTTATTTGTAATTATGATCTCAATTGATGAAAATTTGATTTTTGTAGTTTTAAAGTCGTCCATTTTTTTTTCTTCCAGTACGAGGATAGCAATAGTGATGGAAAGAGAAAAAACTTCAAAGGAGAGACGGGTCTCATTTATAGCTTTGCTTATTTCGAAAGATTATTGCATCCAATGGCTTATAGATGATTCGGTTGACATGAATCAACTATCATTTCAAAATAAAGCATTTGGTGAAACCTGGGGAGTAAAGCATTTACATCCCGAAGAGAAAATAGGAATGATCTAAGCTTCATAAACCTTGCATTCTTCATCAGAAGGGTTTGTCTTGCAGAAGTCCTCCAAGGGATCGCCACTTCCTGCAGCAGGCATGCCGGGCCACTTGCTTGCTACAAGATGTGCCAAATCAACAACCCTTTGGCTGCAAATAACAATCTCATTTCCATTAGCAAGGCACACATAAAGATTATAGTTAGAATCTTGAAAATTGTCCGAGGAATGTATCCCCACCTGTAACCCCATTCATTGTCGTACCAAGCCACCACCTTTACCATGTCATCTCCCATTACCATGGTCAGGGAAGAGTCAATGGTGGAAGAAACATCAGAGCACTTAAAGTCCACCGACACAAGAGGAACATCACAGACATCCAATATGCCCTTCAATGGCCCCTCAGCTGCCTTTCTGAAGGCAGCGTTGACATCCTCGGCTGTAATGCCTTTCTTCTCGACATTTACAACAAGGTCTACAACTGAAACGTTTGGTGTTGGCACACGCAATGCAATGCCATTGAGCTTGCCCTTGAGTTGGGGTAGCACAAGAGAGACAGCCTTGGCTGCACCAGTGCTTGTTGGGACGATGTTCAGAGCTGCAGCCCTGGCTCTCCTCAAGTCCCGGTGTGAAGCATCCAAGAGTCTCTGCATGATCACAGGAAGCAATTTAGTCTTCTTTGTCCAAAGAGATCTACTTTTCCTGTTTGAATTTATAGGGAATTCCTTCTTTGAAGAATCTTAAACACTAAATCAAGGAAGAAGTTTTGCTCAGTGTCAGTACCTGGTCTCCAGTGTAGGAATGGGTGGTTGTCATTGTTCCCTTGACAATTCCTGCAAGTCAGTTTTGATGTAGTCATAAAAAGGAAAATTTCCAAACAAAAGGTTAATGGTTATATGAAATTAGCTTGAACTGAACAAGTCCACTTCCCAGTGAATGTGATGAAATGCTTACCAAGTTCTTCATCCATGACTTTCACAAAAGGAGCCAAACAATTTGTAGTGCAAGAGGCATTACTGCAAGTACCAAATTTGTCCAGCTATAAACTACAACATCATGAACTGGAAAACAATTTTCAAACTGCTTCATGAACAATCAAACTTTTTGGAGGTACTGACCTTATGATGTTTGAGACTTCGTGAGAGTAATCACCTTCATTCACTCCGACAACATAGGTTGGAATATCTGCACCTTTTGCTGGAGCAGTGATGATAACTTTCTTAGCACCAGCCTGAATATGCTTCCCAGCTCCAGGGCCATCCACAAACACTCCTGTTCCCTGCAGAATGCATATAAAATTAGCCAAGTTATTATCTAAAGAGACTAGTAAAATTTTGCCAAGAATTTTCCATTTCTCTGCATATTGTAGTAATCCAGCCCATTTATTCAAAAAGGTTGGCACCATGAAAATGGAACCGGAAGTGTTTGTTCTGGTGATAGAAACTATGCTTCAGAGAAATTTGATCCATAAGAAGATAGTGCAAGGACCTACCTCAATAACAATGTCGATGCCAAGATCAGCCCACGGAAGCTTGAGAGGGTCCCTGTTAGAAACAACCTTGACTGGCTTGCCATCTACGCTGATGGTGGTATCATCTACAATTTTTACTTCTGCTTTGAAAGTTCCAAGCATTGAATCGTATTTCAACAAGTGTGAAGCCTGTGTATATATAGCATACCATTAGTTTATGAATGGAACTTATTAATCTCACACATGTAACTATAGTCAGGGCAATGATCAATTACTTACATTTTTTACACCACCGCTGTCATTGACAACAACCACGTCGAGGGGTGAGTCCTTCCTGCCATGCCAGCACCGGAGGAAGTTCCTGCCAATGCGTCCGAATCCATTGATAGCCACCTTCAATTTGGCAACAGTTTCCCTCCTAACAGGAGTTGACGCTACCATCTAAATTTGGAAATAAATTCCAAACCATCAGAAATCAAAGCCAAATCAAGGCCCAAGGGTTCTTCACACAATAAACAATGTTAAGAAAAATGTACTTATTTCATTTCACTTATCCAAAGCACAACCGAAAAATCAAGCTTGTAAACTTTCATTTTGAGAGTGCCGAGCTCACAAAGGCATCTCATAAACTTTATTCTTTTCTACTAGAATTCTGATTAGTCACACGGAGTCTATGGACCTTTTCTTTCTCATGAAACATCATGAAATTTATAAAAAGTTGAAAAGCAGGGACATATCCTTTCATGCAGAACTCCAGAAAAAAAAAAACGGAATTCTGAAATTTCCTTTCAGGGAAACATCATGAAATTCTGAAGCTTGGAAAACAATCTCTTAAAAAAAAAAAAAAAGATTATTGGAAGAAATATGGACTCAGAACTCCATAACAACTTAATTGTGCTGAATTTTCCAATAAAGAATTCAACTCTCGAAGAAATAACTATAACCATGACCGGTCTAATCTCTGTGCATGAACATAGAACAAGAAGAAGATTCAGAAAAGATTGAAAAGTAGAAGCAAGGGATGAACCTTAGGAGTAAGCTGAGCAGCCACCACATCAGAAAAGGATGCTCCTCTGGCATTTGTAGCGTACGTCATGCAGGAGCAGGATCGGAGCCCAGAAAACTCAGCCATTTCCAGCTTCTGAAAACAGAATCAGAATTGAATATCCCAGAAAACTGAAGCGAAAAGGAGAAAACAAAATGAATAAACAGAGAAAGGAAGAGACCTTAGAAATGCATTGGGTGGGAAGGGAGCTGCCTTTAGATGGAAGTCTGGCGACAGTGGGGATTCTTGAAGGAGCTAGAGCTGCGTGAGTGGCCATGGCTGCAACTAGAATCAAAAGACCAACTTCTCCAACTATTTATAAAGTCGAATTTCGTTTTTTCCATTGTGTATGTTATGGTTGCAAGTGAATTAAAGGAATGTGTGGTGAATATGGTAAGTGCATGATACAAGGGATAAGATTATGTCTGAGCATGGAAGTTCATGACTTGAGCCACACAGGCACTTGTTTCCTAAACTGCCCTTTCATTGTTTTCAAAATGGCCACAGACTATTGGAAAAAAATCCAGAAACATTCCCCATTGCTACGAATTTCAGGAAGAGAGACTGACCTCAGGTTTAATCTGGTCCCATTCAACAGATTTTTACAAGTTCTGGCTATTGGAAGATCATTTGGTTAGTGAACATCCATAGGAAGTTAAATATCTGTACATTGTGTGGCATAATTATGTGCTTATTCAAAAGCATATGGTTAGCAAATCCAGGGCATATGTGGGCTCAAAAAAAGCCTCTCGGAGATACCAAATTGTTAATGGCATATCTTGTTAAGAAAAGAAAACAACTCATGCAGCTAGAAGACTTCCCAAAAATTACAAGTTTTACTTCTATTCCAGGCAAAAACGTGTAATAATCATGCAACAACTGCAACATTCAAAGAGTACATACACTACTTGCTGGGGAGAAATACATTACAATAATTATTTTGTAACAAGGAAACTGAAAATCGCTTATAACACAATTTAACAGGAAACAGAGCTCATACGGTAGCTTCCACTCCATTGGAGTTAACAGCTACTCCATTTGGGGCATCTTCAGATCGGATCTGGGCAGAAATCTCATCAATAGCTAAGTTGAGCTGATCAATCTTCTCAGATAGTATCTTCCGTTTTCTCTGTCAATTAAAAAATCAGTCTGTAATCAAACTTGAGCCAAAAAGTATTCTTAATAATAATAATAATAAAAAAACTGCAGATAAATCAAGATAATCGACTCAATGACGAAATCAGTCAAGGGCATCAGAGCTGCAGTATTCCTATGCATCAATCAAGCAAAGGTGAGCACAATCTTCATGGCATGCCAACAATTAGGAACACATAAGAGTCAAGAGATGCTTACTTCCAAGGCTTTTTCTTCATCGTATATGAATTTGGGTAGTTTCCTCATTAGTTCCCTTCTGTCAACTCCAGCTAGTGCATTGCTGATCTGCAGAAGGCAACCAGAAAGGAATTTTAGATATGTGCTGCAAGTGGCGAACATATAATATACAGAACAGCATAGTACATAAGTTCAGGAATGAGAAGATTCAAGAACCAAACACCATCTAGTTTTAGTGTAGCTGATGTTTGCTTTTCTTTGTCTAAAGAAAAGAGGAAAACCAGTGATGACAACTGACACATTTTCTTACAGAAGTATCATTGTAAAGAATGACCCATAAAAAATCCTACTTCCTACAAGATCATTTTAATTGATAAAAGATGCAAAGCATGCATAATGGAGACACAGCAAAAAAACCAAACATGCATCTGTGACTGCCAAAATAACCACTGGAAAAACCACCATAAGAGGGCAATATAACCTGAGAAGCAAATACACATCCAAGTGCACCAACTATGACTCCTCCCAAAACAAAACCACCAACAAAGATGCTTGCACTGCTCGGCCTTCCATCATCCCTGTAGGACCACAAGAAGCAGAAGACTTTCATTTACAACTTAAGTCATACTTGTCTGCTAACATCCCCAACATCAGTGGCGGAGCCAGGGGGGTGCGAGGGGGGGGCTGGCCCCCCCTGAAATTTGAAAATCTTGCAAATTAGTATATGAAAAATTATCTAGCCTCCCCTGAACTTTGAAAGTTTTAGTATTTTGCCCCCCCTGAAAAAAATTTCTGCCTCCGCCCCTACCCAACATGATACTCAAAAACAACATAAAAGGGGGCTCCAGGTTATAATTCAAACTGATCTAAGGCAAGTGAATAACAGGATATGAGCATTTCTATAATTGCAAAGGGTCTTAAGATTTGGCATAAGAACCAAAAAGCATTGGAATCACTACGGCTAAAAAATAGCCAAGAGGTGATACCTATAAGCAGCTTGAACTGTTAGTGACCTTCGAGAGGTAGCAAGCTGCACTTTCCCTGGACGATTTGAATTAAATGACAAGTTGACAGGGCAAGCACTCCTAAGGGACAGCTCCTGTAGCTTCAGAGAAGAGCCTAGGGAACAAAACAGAAAAGAAGAAGAAAATTGAGCCGTCTTCCCAATAAAATAGCATAATCAAATAAATAATACAACGCGAAAATACAAAAAAAAAAAGAAAAAAAAAGAAAAAAAAAAAAGCCCAGCTTCAGAATAGAGATTTATGGATCCCAGCTGTTCTTATATGCATTTTTCTTTTTCAATTGGCCACATTATATGCATGATTAACAAAACACCAAAACAAAGAATCACTGAATTCAAAGAGAAGAGTCCAATCTATGCTTCCATTTATGCTGATTCATGAATCCCCTTTTTCATATCAATTTTTTTTCCCACTAAAATCTTGACATAAACACCTGATTTAGAAGGATAACAGAAACTTCATCGAAGAAACAGCTAGTGAACAAAAAATCTTCCAGCCAGAGAAACAAAGTTAAAGCTAAAATCGATCAGACATGACTCATGAAGAAGATTAATAGAAACGAAAAGCATAGTTAATTTATAGTTAAAAAGTAAAAAACAAATCAGGAAACGAAAATGACTGGAAAGTAGATCCAAAAACAGAAATGTGAGGTGGGATTGTTACCGTAAGAGAGATGAATTCTAGGGTTTCTCGTTAAAGTCACAGAATTGGAAAAAGCAGCCATCTTTGCGGAGAAGAGGTGTGAATTTGGGACACTGAGCTGAGGAAAGGAAGAAGATGGAATATAAGTGGCAGTTTTGCGCTCGATGATTTCTATGCTTCCTTCAAAGGTACATCCTAAGTCGTTAAGTGGCCCATAGGGTGAATTAAGCCCATTTTCTGCTTCTTTTTTTTTGGTAAATAGTTTCTGCTTGTTGCTTGGGCCTAATGTAAAAGTTGCAACGCTAAAAGGCCACATTTTAAGACCTCAAATTTTACAAATTTTTTTGATAAGCGATCTAAATAATAATATTGTTTGAAACAAATGAACCCTAACTTTTTTTATTAAAAAAAATCAATCAAAAATTAATAGAAAACCACTAGTATGGCACTTGTTTGTAAGTTTTCTACTATTTGTAACAAAAGAGAGTTCTCTCTACCTACTTGTGAAGGACCAAAGGACCATTAATTGACAAACCAAGGGACATTAATCATGCACATCTTATATTGGAAAAACAAATTAGAGTATGTTTGGGTTAACTTGTAAGAGTTTTTATTTTTTTTGTACTGTTCATGAGTGATAAGTTTAAAAAGTGAGTAAAAAAAGAGTTTATCAAAAGTTTAAATTTAAAGTTTTTAAACTTTTACTGTTTGAGATCTTTTTAAGATTAAAAAAAATTTAAAAATGTAAGTTTTTAAGAAAGAAATTTAAACTTATGAAACATGAATAGTATTAAAAAGTTGAAACACTTGGAAGCTGAACCAAACATGTCCATATTTAATCCCCTCCATTCAATAAAGCTCAGAACTACACTCTTTAGCTTATAAAGGAAGCACTAATTGTATAAGTTAGCTGGCTTGTTGGCTCATTGGCTCATTCCAATATTATATGGATTCCTTTTCTACACTAGATGGTGTTCCATTTGACTAAGTAAAAAAAAAAAAAAAATAGACTTTAATATTGGTTTTATGTATTTTTAATATACTTTAATAGATTCATGATCAAGTTATACTAGTATAACTCTTGCATCAATCCTCATTTACTTATTTCAAAATTCTTATAATTACTCTCACGTTTTAATTTTCAACTCAACATGAAATTTTTAAAATGAGTGGCTGAATATTAGAATAAGATTTACATCAGTAACTTGATTCTAACTTGCTAATGCTAATAACTTAAATAATTAAATAATAATCTTCTTTAAATGAAAATAAAAGATTATGAATTTAAGACGTATGATATGAAAGTAAAATAATTTAAAGAATGGAAAAATGTTACCTCTCATCGTCCTACCTTAGATGATAAAAAAAGGAAAAAAAAAAAAACTGATCCTAACTTGTTTTAAGATTTTCCTATATAATATTTTATGAAGATATAACAAAAATTTTTTCCTTATTGATTTGTGTTTAAATGACAAATTCAAAAAGCTGGATATTTCAATGGATCAAACAAATAAACAACAATTCACAAGAGTTTATGTAAATTGGTATTTTTCTATTAGTCAAACCTTAATTTATTATCAAAATCTATGATTCAAACAACATCTACAATACTAAAAACTTAATTTTAATGTACCAATGATTGAAATAACTTAATAATAATTTTTTTTAGTAAAAGTAAAAGTTATTAATCTAAATGTATAACATTCAAGTGTAGTGATTTAAAAGATAAGTGAAAGTTACGTATTATTATACAACACAAAAAGAAAAAAAAAAAAAAACCTTTGATGTGCCAGAAAATGTAGATGAAACATCAGAGAGCTTAAATATCATTTATTTATTCCCATAACAATTTTTTGTATGACTCCAATGTAGTACTGTAGTAGGCTTTTTCTCATTTGACTAGGTCGGTGTTCGTCGGTTCGCCCTTTGTCGTCTCCTACGCTACTCCAATGGAAGTTTTGCGATTACGTTCTCTCCTTTGTCTGAAAGCAGCCGGGCTTGTTCTATATTTTTTTATACGGAACATTGATGCTTGTTTCTTCGACACTTCCATTGTTAACCACCAAATGCCCAACCCAGTCGTCCCAATCCCACGTTGCCAGAAAAGACACAGAGAAGATGACAACTTCCGTGTTATCAGCAGAGAATATAAGCTTTCATTTCTCAATTAGGTGCCAATTGCCTCCCTTTTAGCTGAGGAATACAGGGTAAGTTTTGAATATCATACCAAGTGTGTTGATATTTTGCCTCTGTGAGCTTTATGGCTGGCGATGCAGGAGGGAAGGATTTGGAGCAGACCCCGACATGGGCAGTGGCTACCATCTGTGCATGGTTTGTGATTATATCTGCATTGATTGAACATGGGATTCATTCTCTTGAAATGGTAGTGCTTTCCTTGGATTAACTAGGTTCCCTATCCATTTAATGTTACGTAAAGATGACCACTTTGATTGTTTTGTTGATTTATACAACAGTGGTTCCAAAAACGCCAGAAGAAGGCTATGGCTGAAGCCTTGGAGAAGATTAAAGTGGGTTAGCTCTTTATAGAATTGGTTTATTTCAACCTCATGTTACGAATTCAATGTAATTTCTTTCATTTTAATTTTGCGGTACTGATGCTGCTTGGTTTCATATTAGTATTACTTACTGTGGGCACAAAATACATCGTAAAAATTTGTATTCCAAAAGCTATTGGCAAAACCATGCTTCCATGCAAATATGATGGTGGGAACGACAATGGCGGTGACAAAGGCAAGGGTCACGGTGACGGTGGTCGTAAACACGACAGGCGGAAGTTACTTTCTTACGCTGGAGATATGATATGGCATCGAGCCCTGGCAGCGACAAATGAGAGCCCAGCAACCGACCGAACAAGTTCTTGCACAGGAGTAAGCTGGGAATCTCCAAATTAAGTAACTCTTGTACCCTGCAATTCACTAAGCACTTTAACTTTTTTTTTCCTCTTCCTCTCTGTGCAATGCAGGATAAAGTTGCATTGATTTCAACAAATGGGATGCATCAATTGCATATATTCATATTTGTTCTTGCTGTTTTACATGTTCTCTACAGTGTGGTTACCATTGCTTTCGCGCAGGCCAAAGTAAGATTATTTTTTCTTTTTCCTCCATCAACTGGGCATTTTTATCACTGTCTGAATTTGTCACTTGGATATGTTGATCAGCTGAAGAAATGGAAAGCTTGGGAATTGGAAATAAGACCATTGGAGTATCAGTTGTGTACCGGTGATTCTCTGCTTCTTTGTTCAAGAATTTTCAAAATAGTTCCAAGATCT